TTAGATATTTGTGGAAACACTTGTTGGTTTTCTCCTCTGAAGCTTTTTTTTTTTTAGATATAAGCCTCTTTTGTTTAGTGGAGTGTCTGCTCCTTCAGTAGATATCCATAGGTGTAGGCTAGATGAGGCCACAGAGCTCCAGTCAGTGCTCAATGGAGGGGGCAATAGTCCAGGGTGACACCCAAGTTAGTCATGGTAGATCTCATCTATTTTCAGCAGGAGGGAGAGTATGATCATATCAGCTAGTGTGAGCACATCCTCAACTCTCTTCCAAAGTGATCAATGCCAGAGTGAGCCAACCATGGCAACAGACCTCACTCATGGAACATATAACCCACACAAAAGATTTACGTGTTCCTCAGTGTGAGCAAAGAACCCTGTGCAATGACCTACCCCAGGCACTCAGGGAACTCTGAGCCTCTGAAACTAGACTCAGTGACTGTCCAGAGCACGATATATTTTATACCTTACTATGCAGTCACAGAATTCCCACAGTCACAGTACATAGGGCTCCCATATTCACAGGGAGCAAGGAATCCACTCTCAGTCCTGTGATCATGCTCCATCCATAAAGACAACCGAGGCACTACCAGAGCTAGCTGCCTTTTGGTGCTCTGCCTTGGCAGCGTGATTCTGGGCATCTATGATAGCTTGAGGGGAAGGGAGCACCTCACAGGCTGAAATTGGAGGCCAGCACCCTGCCAACCCACCAGGCCAGAATCAAAGTTAGTGGGGACTGTGGACTTATTTCAGCAACATAATTCTCTAATTCTGCATCAGCCTCTACTTGCCTTATTTAGATGGTGCTTTATCCCTGCTTGTCACCAGGCACACTTCATGGGGTTGGGAATAAACAATGTGCTCTCCCTTCACAGGGTTACATGAGCACTCTGTCCCCTGATAGTGCTCCAGGCCAGACTCAGTTTGCTCTGCAAGGTTCTCTTTCAGGCACTATTAGTAGTGACATGGGCTGCTGTAGACTTCTGTCGCCTTGCTCCAAGAAGATGGTGTCTCCTCCAGCCCCAAGCCATGGGAGTCGCTGGTGGTATACCTGCTTGCTGTTGCATGTTTGTATTGTCCTCACTGCTCCACAGTGTCTCTCCTCTTTCTGTAGAATTGTCCCTGCAAACTTCTCTTCAATCCTCCCTGAGAATGCAATTCCTCCACTTTTCCTCTGTTATTTTCCTGTGGTCAAAATCATCATGTCTTTCCTCTATTCATTCACACATCTTGGTTCCTCTCATTATTTGAAACAACTGCAAGAGTCTACTTAACAAAGGAAAGTTTATTTCAATTCACAGATTTGAAGTTTCACAGTCCATCGTTGTGTGGCCCCATTACATCTGATGAGGGCGATAGGTGACAGAATATATGAGCAGAGAGTATCATATGGTGAACCATGAAGCAGAAGAAGAGAGAGAGAAATAGAGCATGCTTATTCACTATGTCCATGTATCTTCCTTTTTAAAGCCTCAATGATTCAATTATTGGACTCAGCCCAGCCATTCAGGCTTGGAGCTAACATGCAAAGCCCTATAGACAGGGCCAGCACTGTGGTGCAGTAGGCTAAGCCTCTGCCTGTGGTGCCAGCATCCTATATAGGTGCTGATTCATATCCTGGCTGCTCCTATTCTGATCCAGCTCTCTGCTTATGCCCTGGGAAAGCAGTGGAAGATGGCCCAAGTGCTTGGGCCCCTACACTCATGTGGGAGACCTGAAAGAATCTCCTGGCTTCTGCTTCAGATCAGCTCAGCTCTTGCCATTGCAACCATACAGTGAGTGAATCGGTGGATGGAAGACCTTTCTGTCCGTCTCTCCGTCTCTCTCTGTGTAACTCTGTCTCTCAAATAAATAAATAAAATCTTTAAAAACAAAAAACAAAACCCTGTATAGACTACGTGATTTAAAAAAAAAAAAAAAAACAGTGTTGGGGCCAGCGCTGTTGCGCAGAGGGTTAAAGCCCTGGCCTGAAGCGTCGGCATCCCATATGGGCGCCGGTTCTAGTCCCGGCTGCTCCTCTTCTGATACAGCTCTCTGATAAGGCCAGTAGAAGATGGCCCAAGTCCGTGAGCCCCTGTACCCACATGGGAGACCCGGAAGAAGCTCCTGGCTCCTGGCTCCTGGCTTTGGATCAGCACAGCTCCGGCCATTGCTGCCATCTGGGGAGTGAACCAGTGGATGGAAGACTCTCTCTGTCTCTACCTCTCTCTGTAACTCTGTCTTTCAAATAAATAAAATAAATATTTCAAAAAAAAAACAGTGTTTATTTCTCCTAGTTCTAGAGGCTGGCAATCCATGAATGAGATGCTAGGAAATTCAGTTTCTTGTAAGGGCTCTAGCTTACAGATGACAACCTTCTCACATGGTAGTCAGATGGTCTTTCCTTTCAGCTCCACAAATGGGGTTGGGGAAGACAGAGGGAGATATATGAATGTCTCCTCTTCTTATAAGGACACCAGTCCTGGCAGATTAGTACCCCCTTTTATTTTCCTATTTAACAAGCATCCCTAAACACTCTATCTCCAATTATAGCCAAATTGAGGGTTAAGGCTTCAACCCAGGCATTTTGTTTCTGTCTGTAACAGGTATCTAGAGGGCTTTGAATTACTATGGAGATGACTGACATGACATGGCAAGTTTAGGGGAAAGATGGATGGGTAGGCAACACAGCAATTATTCAATCTACAATAAAAATAAGTTAAGCATGGATAACCAGGACTCTGATATTAACATCCCTAATCAGACAGTAACAAAACATTGTTCTAAACCTGAGCCAGTCCTCAGAGCCAGGATCAAATGATTAAAAAGAGAGGCAAGAGCTTAATAGGAAAGATCCTGCAATATCACAGCTACTTTATATGATCGTGGTTCTCACAGTCCTTTCCAAGAGGCTTGGAGTCATTTACTTAGAATCATTTACTTATATTAAGAAAAGGAATACACAAGCATTTCAACAGTTGCTGGACTCAGAGGGTTATATACCACTGAGACTTAGGTAGGTAACTGAAGTATCTATAAGATCATCTACATTACTATGGGTCTTCATACCTGATGATTTTCCAACTGTATAATTGGAATGTTTACAGTTGGCAGTGGGCATTGATCTTAGATTGTCTCTTTGTCCTGTGGAGTTTAGAGCCATCATAGAGAGGAAGACTAAGTAGAATACTCTGGAACTCTCTTCTCAGTTAAAACAGTAACTAAAAACAGTATCATACTCTGGACATTGGGAAGATGTTAGTTCCATCCTTCAAGACTTATGTATGTGATAAGGGAGTGAAGGACCCCATTATGTTCACATCCCAAGTGAATAGCTCCAAATGTATCTGCTGTGTAATGTATTTTTGGTAGTCCAAATTATCATGACCTCAGAACATGAATGTAGCTATTCATCAACCTAAAGTATTTTTTCCAATCTATGAGACTGGCATCAAAAGTAGTACAAGTTCACTTAGAGTATACAATAGTGCTTCTAACAAGCTCATCTAGGACTATGTTAATTCTTTTCTCTGTTTGAATGTACTCAAAAAATTCAAAAGCATCCACTAAATTATTGATTTTATGGCTAAATAGACCAAATAAGCAAGAAGTGGAATGTATTTTAGATTCCTTAGAGAATTGTGCTCCAGAGTGTGGATGATAAATCTTATTAAAATTCAAGAGTAAGAAACATCAGGGAAATTTTTAGGGGTTCAGTGTTTTGGAAAAGCTGGAACGTCCTCTCCAAGAGGAAATATTTGTGACTTTCACTTCCCTTCACAAACAGGTAAGCACAGTGCCTATGTTTTTTTCTCTTGGTTTTTGGAAACAGTATTTTACACCTAGGAATGCTGTTCTGATTAATGTCTGGTTGACATGGAAAGCTGACAAATTTATTTCAAGTGGAATCTAGTACGAGAAAGGATTTTGTGGATGGTCAAGATTGCAGTATAAGTAGTTTCACCATATTGTACATACACCATAGTACAGCCTGTGGCGATGATGTACTCTATGCTGGGAAACAACATTGCATGGAGTTGTATTACAATCCCAGATAGAAGAATTGCTGCCTAGACCTTGAGGATTCTAGTACAAGATCATGTCATTCAGATGACAATGTCAAACCTTTCATAAACCATTCCATAGTATAGGCAAGAAGACCAATTGTTCACTTTAAGCTGTGGCAGGTCTGACCCACAGTCATAATGTCAAATGGACCCTGCAGTAACCTGTTGAAAGATAGAAGTGGTATGTCTTGCTCAAGGTAAGAGTAGGAATACACAGCACAATAAAGCAGCTTAAATGGGTAATTCTGAGAGCCCTGTTTTCCACAAGCATCCTTCAATGTACATCTATGGTCACAAAGGTTAAGGGTGGAGATATCCCTCACATCTGCCTGCTAGGGGAGGATAAGAAGTTTGGCTAACTGGAAGAGTTGGCATAATATGAGCAAAGTTATAATGAACAGTGGCTTATTTCCTCATGTAGGGATGACCTTAACAGGAATAATGATGCTAAGCTCTCTCAATGGGAAGTTTTATTTTATGTGGCTAGAACCATAAGTGAGAATGTGATGAGCATTGCTGAATAGTAGTTCTAGGTGCTCAGGAGTCTAAAAGGAGACCTGGAAGAGGCCTGGAGTAGATATTTGTGTGGACATTTTGAGTAGGTATGTTGCATTAAGATCTTTGTATTGTATAATAATGTCCACTAGAGACCATCTATCCAGAAATGGTATGAAATAATTAAGTGGGCACCATGACTTATGCTATTGATGCCAGTCAAACTCTTTCATCAGCCATCCCAGTGCTGGTACAGTGAGCTCATGTTTAAAATAGCCACTGTGGCAAGGATGGAGGCTAGGTTTAAGCTTCACAGCATTGTCTTCCATACATCAAGGTTAATATAAGTACTGCTGCTGCCAAATGTCCAATCACCATTAGCTTTTGTATTTTTCTGCTGCTATAACAAAGTATTCAAGGTTGAGTAATTTGTAAAGAAAAGAGGTTTATTTAGCTTACATTTCATGGTGCAGGAATCTGCTCAGCTCTAGTGAATGTCTTATGGTGGATGGCATCACAATGGTGAGAACACATGTGGAAGAGGTCACCTGGTGAGACAGTAAGCCAAGGAGAGATTCAGGGGTCAGGTTCAATTTTCTCATAAAGAGAACAGATTTCATGTATCTCATAGGTACAATTCTAAGATAATCATACTTCCTTCCCTCCCACTTTCCTTACCTCAATACCCCTACTTCCTTCTTTTCTTTTTGTGTTTAATTTTTGCAAAAACATAATTTTAATCCCTTTTATGATCACAATCTTAATGCACCACTAACCATAATATTCAACTAAAATGCAAGTATAAAATAGAAATTCCATAGGAGTATAAACAAGGGCTAAAAACAACAATCATATCACAAGATGTCTCTTTGATTTCTATCCTTTTTTTTTATTCTATATAAACTACAAAATATCAGAAAATATAAAATATTTGTCTTTTGAAGGCTGGCTTATTTCACTAATCATAATGGTTTCTAGTTGCATCTATTTTGTTATTTGTCATGTAAGATCCCAGTTCACAAAGAGGGAATGCATCCAACAGAGGACTCAGCAAAAATCCCACTGAAATTTAAGCTTTGGCTTCTCCCAGGCATTTGGTGTTCCTCATGCCAAGGAACAGCAGAAAAGAGGAGGAGCTGTTATCCTGGCAGGCATAATTTACTTTCATGAATACCGTAATCTACCCTGGGAATTTACCGGGAGGAAGTTAAGCTGCTGCTGCACAGTGATTGCAGAGAAGAATATATTTGGCATCCCAGAGATCCCCTTAGGTTAAGTGTATTTGGGTACTCTTTGCCTAATTTTGACAATAATGAACAAATGCAATAACCTCAGATACCCATAACCTAAGGATTTGCCATTTCCCTCCAGGTAAATAAAGACAAGAAAAAGGAAGACGAAGAGGAAACTAAAAAGTAGGTATTAGAGGAAGAAGTTATGAGTATCATTTGTTGCTCACAGAACAACTGCATCAGAAAGGGCTATAGCTGGCCCACTGTCTTTCTCTTTGTTTCTACCAGGAAAAGAGCCCTCCAGAAAAAAGTCCTCCAGCAAAAGGGCCCTCCAGAAAAGGATCCTCCAGGAAAAGAGCTCTACAAATGAGCAGAGGAGCACTCTCAGGACTAATGGGAAAAAATGAATATATGGGGTGCAAGTTCCTGTTCAGGAGAGAGGGGCTTATCCCCTGCAGCTGCTGAAAGTACTGCCAGTTGATGGCCCTTAGCCCTCTCCATCAGCCATCCTTGGAAACTGGCTTCAGCTGAAAAGAACCTTTGGTCTTCTTCCCGGGGACTGTATCCAGTGGTTGTTTGATACAAGGGAGAAAAGAGATTCTAACTCCTGGCCCCTCTGTCCCAACTTATGACAACCATGAAGGGTCACCCAAGGTTTAGCTGTCTCTGCAGAGAGAACTATGTTGTGACTATTAATACAGCCAACTTCTCCCCCTTGCCCAGGCCTGCTTCCTGTTAATAAACTTTTGCACAGTAATATCTATCTCATAGTTTATTTCTTGAGGAATCTGATCATTCAAATATACATGGTAACTTCTTTCATGTATTCATTCAAAATTCTTTACTGAATATATTAAATGTGCCAATTCTGCTTTAGGTCCATATAGGTAAACAAGTCAGACAAGACCTCTGCTATCACAGAACTTAATTTTTTTTCTTTCTTTCTTTTTTTTTTTTTTTTTACACGCAGAGTTAGACAGTGAGAGAGAGGGACAGAGAGAAAGGTCTTCCTTTTCCGTTGGTTCACCCCCCAAGTGGCAGCGCGTTGCAGCTGGCGCACTGCGCTGATCCAAATCCTGGAGCCAGGTGCTTCCTCCTGGTCTCCCATGTGGGTGCAGGGCCATCCTCCACTGCCTTCCCGGGCCACAGCAGAGAGCTGGACTGGAAGAGGAGCAACCGGGATAGAATCCGGCACCCCAACCAGGACTAGAACCCAGGGTGCCAGCTCCACAGGTGGAGGATTAGCCTAGTGAGTTGCGGCGCTGGCCAGAACTTATGTTTCTAGAGCCAGGAGATGAATAACAAGTAAGTAAACCAATAATATAAAAGGACTCTCAAATAGTAATTGGTTCTATAGAGAGAAGTAAAATTGTGTGATGTGACAGAGATTTAATGACTACTTTTAAAGGCTCATTTAAAGAGTTGCCATCAAAGTTGAGACCTTAACATTTGGGTATCAGCCTTTTGGAGAAGGGAGCTTTCCAGGCAGAGAAAATGACTGTAAATCACAAAGTCTGAAATGGATTTCTGTGGTCAAGGATCAGAAAGACCAGTGTGGCTAAATCTTAATGATACTGGCAAAGAATGAAACACATGACAACCAAAGATAAATAAGACATAGGGAATGTAGGAAATTTGAGAAGAGAGAATAAACAATAAAATAGTGTATTTGGAGAGTAGAAAATTTTAAAAATTCTAGTTAAATACTGTACAATTAATTGGTACAATATTTACACTTGAGATAGGTGGGTCACAGTTTTAAAGTAAGTGAGATGAGTTTTCTGTTATTTTCACAGCAATATTTAGCTGTTGATGCAGGAAAGAAATGGGTAGATAGGATTACTTGTTTTAGACTTTTGGCACAGCAGACTGATGGAAGGAGAGCAAGTGTGGGAATTAAAGATTTTCTCATGGGAGAGCTAGAATTTAAGCTGGTGAGAGTAACATAAAGTTGTTTTACCCGTTGAAAAAATGGTAGATTTAGTGGATTGGGGATCTAAATGAGAACAAGGGGTCAGTTGAGTAGGAGTTCTAGTGTAGGAGAGTTGGAATGACAGGCATGGAGGTACATAGTTGGTATATTTGAAATGGATGTTTTGGAGATCTTGTTTCATTGGTGATGGCAATGTCAAAGATATGACTCTAGAGTGGATGGCTTGGATAGAGAGAAAGAAAGAAATATCTTTGCAAGTCAGAAGATGGAGAGAAATTAGCAAATTGCACTGATTATTCACGTGGGTGTGACATCACTGATAATGGAAGTCACTGAGTCAGATAATGCAGTCAAATTAAATAAGGGAGAGTAACTAAGTGTTACTACCTACAACTAAAGGGGTAGTCTACCACAGTCTGATGACATATATTTTAAATTAGATTTTTTTTTACCAATCTACGCATTTTGTTTGATTTTTTAAAATATAATTTAGTTTTTGAAATGTTTTAACTTTTATGCAATTTCCACACACTTGCATATGATTTCCATTTACATTAACACTGTCAATTTGTATGGTACATTTGCTATAATTAATTCCAATATTGATATATTATTAACTAAAATCCATACTACATTGATTACCTTAAATTTTTTTAAAAAATTATTTATTTATTTGAAAAGCAGAGTTACAGAGATAGAGAGAGGGAGAGATTTCCATCTGCTGATTCACTCCCCCAAACGGCTGCAATGACGAGTTAGGCTGATCTGAAGCTATGAGCCAGGAGTTTCCTCTGAGTTTCCCACATGGCTGCGGGGGTCCAAGGACTTGGACTATCTTCTGCTGCTTACCCAGGCATATTAACAGGGAGTTGGATTGGAAGTGGAGCAGCTGGGACTTGAACCAGCATCCATATGGAATGCTGACTCCACAGGCAACAGTTTTACCTGCTATGCCACAGTGTTGGCCCCAGATTACCTTAGTTTTTACCTAATACCTTTTTTTTCTTCCAGGATTCCATCCAGTGTGTCATATTATACTAGTTGTCATGTCTCCTTAGGCTTATCTAGACTGATAATTTGTCAAACTTTTCTTATTTTTTATGATCTTGACAATTTTGGGGGAGAGTACTGAATGACTACTATTAGAATTTTTCTTGGCTACACTGGAGTTATGGGTGTATAGGAGGAAGACCTCTGAGATAAACTGTTACGATCATCACATGGTATCAAGAGTACATACCATCAACAGGATAAATCCATTAATGCTAGTCAGGGTTACATTGCTAAGGTGTATGATTTCTCACAATTTTCTACTGTAAAGTTACTCATTTCTCTCCTTGCTATATTGTTCTCTTTGGGTGGAAGTCACTATGTAGAGCTTTCACTTTAAGGAATAGAAAATAATGCAGTCTCTCCCTGAGGGTTTAGTATCTTCATAGATTTTTGGAGTTATTCTGCATGGGAGATTTGTTTCCTCTTCCCTATTTATTAATTTAATTAATCATTTTTTCAAAGTCATTATGGGTTTGTGAGCACCTTAATGGAGATAGAAATAGTTGCATGCAGAATTTGTTATACAAATATGTGTAAATTCCCTCAGCTTTTACTCTTACATATTCCACTCATTTCAAAATTATTTAGATAACACCTTTCTACTCACTCCCTTCCATGAGGTGATTTCATATTTCTGTAATACAAATGAATTCTATTGTCACACTCTGTATTCTTCCCAAGAAATTATTAACCTCCAAAACGTTTTATAAAAATTTGCATATATTAAGGCCAAGTATTTTTTTGGTAAAGTTTATGAAATTTGACAAAGTATATTGTCAAAATTATAGTATCATACAAAGAAATTTCACTATATTCTAAAAATTTTGTTTCTTTCATATTCAACTCTTTCTCTATCCACAAACCCCAGCAGGTATCTTTATCAATTGTATAATTTTGCCTTTTCCAGAGTGTCATGTAATTGAAATTCTATAGCAAGCTGTTATGTAAGATTAGCTTCTTTAACTTAGCAGCATACATTTACATTTCCTTTATGTCTTTCTGTTACTTGATGGATCATTTATTTATTTATTTGAAAGGCAGAGTTACAGAGAGAGGGAGAGACAGAGACAGGGAGACAGAGAGAGAGAGAGAGAGAGAGAGAGAGAGAGGCCTTCCATCCGCTGGTTCATTCCCCAAGTGGCTGCAATGGTTGGGGCTGGGCCGATCTGAAGCCAGGAGCCAGGAACCTTTTCTGGCATCCCACACGGGTATAGGGGCTCAAGGACTTGGGCCATCTTCTGCTGCTTTCTCAGGCCTTAGCAGAGAGCTGAATGGGAAATGGAGTAGGCAGGATTCCAACTGGCACCCATATGGAATGCATGCACTGCAGTGGACAGCTTTATCCTCTGCACCACAACACTGCCCCCATCTTTTGATTTTTTTAAACAGTGCATTTTATGCACAGTGGAATCTTTTAATTTGAATAAAGTTTAATATCATTTTTTAGTGGACTATACTTTTGTGAGTTCTATCTAACAATTCCACATCAGACCTCAAGTCACCAAGATGTTCTCCTATATTTTATCTATACATTTTATAATTTTATATTGTATTTTATAATTAGTTCTATAATCTATTTCAAGTTATTTTTTGTTAAAAGTTTAAGGACTTTGTGACAATTTACTTTTTAGCAGATGGATTGTTTAAGCTGCATGCGTCAAAAAAAAAAAAAAATCAAACCGTTCTTTCTTTGGTAAATTTCCTTAGCTGCTTTGTCAAAGATCAGTCTGCTATATTTGTATAGGTCTGTTTCTAGACTACTCTGTTTCATTCACCTATGTGTCTTCTTTCACAAATACTATATAGTCTTGATAACTGTAGCTTTATAACAAGTCTTGACATTGAATAGTGTCAGTCTTTTTCAACATTGTGCTAGCTATTTTGGGTGTTTTTTTTCATAAAATTCAGAATGAGTCTGTTGGTATTCACAAAATAATTTTTAAAAGTTTTTAAAAAATCAAAAAATCAATCAAACAAGCAAGCAAACTGAACTAATGGAGAAACAGAGATATTACTGGAACGAAATGTGAGGAGAAGGTATTGTATTATTTAGCATAGCTGTAAATTGGTGATGCTAATTTAATAAGTGGGAAACTTTGTGTAAGATGAAGAGTTCAGTTGCTAGAATGATTTCTTGAAATAAATGAAGAAGATAGGCTTTGGAGAAGTGGAATGATTTGTCATAGAAAGGAGCATGGATAACTCATTCACAGTAAGAACTGGAAAGACAAAAGATATGAGCACATATGCGAATAGGTGGATTGATGTTGTGATGGGATCTTCAGAAATTCTCATCTGACGTTCTTGGTCTTCTTACAAAATGGAACCAAGGTCAGTAGCTAAATGTGAGGAAAGAACAGACGTGTGAAATAACATCCGGAAGGGACCATTATGGGATGAACAAGGGAAACAAGTGTTCCTGAGAAGGAGTCTAAGGACCCACTTGAGATAAGTGGGCATGAACTTCAAGGGAGATTTTTCCTAGGGACCATTAGATGATGATATAGCTATGAGAAGTCTTTTCTATTACTGGAACTATGGCCCAAACTAATTTGCAATAAAGATAGACTAACACAGGAAATTAAAATTACTTTGATGAAGAGAAGCAAAGGCAAATATGTCAACAGATGCTTACTATGCATTTGTTTTGTGCTTGGCCTTGTGACTTAAAAAAGTTTATTGCTTAACTTCAAGAAACGACTAGGCTTAATGAGATGCTCAGAGTAAAACATAGGAGAGATCAAACAATGTTACCACTAAAACAGTAACTCCAAGGTAATATTTACTAATTTGCTCAATATATAGTATGGAAAGTGTTATGGGTTCTGAAAAAGACCAATTTACTCAATGGAAGAAGCAATTTTCTGTGTTTTTTGTGGAAACTGTATACCGCATGGTTTAGCAAACTATAACGAATTGTACTATGAATTGCATAATGACTTGTAAAGGCAGCTGTTGGAATTAAGATTTGGTGTTCTTCACTTACCAGCACTGTGAGCAAACTACTTAATATTTCTGCACTTCAGTTTTTTCATGTATAAAAAGATGACAATTTATTTGCCATATGACAATTTATTCTCAGAGAGTTTGCATTTTGAAGATAGAGCTGGCTTCTTTGCAACCTGCAGAGGAAGCCATGTTTCCTGACCTAAGTAAAAAGGAAAATACAAGTTTACCAGGAGGCTTCTTGAAATCATAATACTAAAGGAATAAGCGCAAGTTGGGCAGGAACCAAAGGGCGCTCCAGCAACTAGCCAGCAGAACCACATGGTCTGTTTGTGTTGTATGTACAGCACAGCAACTGTAAACAACTACCACTGTCAAATCCCATGGCTGTAATGATACGGTTAGTCTATTCACTTAAAGTCTGAATGTAGGAATGTTGGACTGGTTAAATTCTGGTCTTAAGCACACACTTTGGCTGTCAGATAATAGAAAATAGGAAACTATTTTTTTTATCCTTCATTTTTCTAATGATTCATACAGTGAGAGATTTCTCCAAATAAGAAAGTGATTTGCTTGGGTACCTGAGTGAAGAACATCTCAAATATGGTTGAATACAAGTTCCTTGTATTCACTTCTGCCACAGAGAGGAGCCAGAACCACCAAGGAAGAACTACATTTCCAGAAGATTTACCACGGAAAAACTTCAGAAAGGAAGTGATGGGATGGGGCTGGCATTGTGGTACAGTGGGTTAAGTTGCTGGTTGTGATGCCAGCATCCCGCATCTGAGTGCCAGTTGGAATTCTGGCTACTCTGCTTCCCATCCACCTTCCTCCTAATGCACCTATGCAAGCAACAGATGACAGCCCAAGTGTTTGGGCATGTGCCACCTATGTTGGAGACTGGGATGAAGTTGTTAGCTCCTGGCATTGGCTCAGCCCAGACTTGCCTATTGTGGCCATTTTGGGGAGTGAACCAGCAGATGGAAGACATATCTTTATCTCTCTCTCTCTCTCTCTCTCTCCCCTCTGCTCCCCCTGTTTGTCTTCCATCACTGTCACTATGCCTTTCAAATAAATAAATGAACAGATAAATATGTCTTTAAAAAGAAGCAATGAGGAACACAAACAATAGAGACTCGAAAAGCTAGAACAAAGGAGGAACAAAATATCCCACCACTGCTACCTTGACTCCTGGTTAAAGAACTCCAACTTACTGGGGAAAAGGAAGTAAGAAAGCTCAGTAACCCTAACCATTGCTGTAGGCTGGCAGCCCTAATTATGGGAGTATCACACAGTCATCAAAGACTTTCAAGCCAGTGTGGAAATCATGTGGGAAGCTGACTGAGGTCCAAGTGACTGCTTTTCCCTAGAAAAGGAACCCGCATTGCTCTCTCACAAGCCCCAGATCTGAGCTGCTACAGCACAGACACTAATAGATTCCATTCTGTTTTAGGGGCCAGTAGGCAGAAGTCCTCAGAACCAGTGACCTTCACAGGGTTCTGCGAATTGCTATGCATAAGTCCTGGAGTCATGTTTGCTCATTCTGTAGGATCTGAGGAAGTTAATCTCTGCTTCCTGGGGTCAACTCTGATAAGCAACTGATACCCATGCCATGGCGAGACCTAAGGGAGTCCCCCTCCACATCTCACTGCTCAGGGCTCTGGATGGTTTGGGCACAAGCCTGCAGTCATCCTTGCAAGCCAGTAGGATGTAGGCTTCTGTGCCCTGCAATTTCTGGGCTGTGCTCCAGGTCCACAGCTGCCAGTGCGCAACCTGCATTTGCCCAGTGAGACCTGGATAATGACTCCATGATTATGATTATTGGTCCTCGAAAACTCAGGGAACCTCCACTCACCCCATGGGATGTGGTTAAGATCCCTTCCAGATCCAACAGTTTTGGGTTTATGACCATAGAACCTACCATATCCTGAAACTTAATTTTATCAGTTGGAAGAGGTTTTTGGTGGCGTGTTCACCAAAATCATATCATCTGCAAACATGGTTATCTTTACATTCTCTTTTTCAACTTGGAGGACTTCTATTTATTTCTCTTCCATAATTTTTCTTGTTAAGGTTTACAATACTGTGTAGAGTAAGAATAACGATGGTGGGCATCTTTGCCTTGTTTTAGATCTTAGTGAAAATTTTTTCAGCTTTTCCCTTTAAACATGATAGTGACAGGTTGTTTGTTGTTTATATCCTTTATTATTTTGAAGCCTATTCATTCTGCAGCTTAATTGTTGCGAGGTTTTATCATGAGGGGATCTTGAATCTTATCAAAGATTAAACTTTCTCTGACTCTACTGAGATCTTTATTCCTAGGCCAAACATCTGCCCCAACTTTTGACCAAGAAACTTAATCCACCTATGTTCAATGTTAATATTTATAGGTAAAAACCAACTCCTGTCATTTCATTTATTGCTTACTTACTGTTTTATATGTTCTTTGTTTCTTTCTTCCTCTTTTATTTTTTATTATGTTTTGTAGTTTTCTGTCTTGGTAAAGCTTAAGTCTCTTTCTCTTTTGTGTAATCAACTGTGTTGGTAGTTTTGTATTTTCATGTGTTTTAATAATAGTTGTTCTATTCCCTCTACTTTTGTTTTTAAAGATTTACAGAGAGAGGTAGAGACAGAGAGAGAGGTCTTCCATCCACTGATTCATTCCCCAGTTGGCTTCAACAGCCAATCCAAAGCCAGGAGCCAGGAGCTTCTTCCGGATCTCCCACACAGGTGCAGGGGCCCAAGGACTTGGGCTATCCTCTACTGCTTTCCCAGGCCATAGCAGAGAGCTGGATTGGAAGAGGAGCAGCCAGGACTAGAACCAATGCCAATATGGGATGCAGGTGCCTCAGGCCAAGACTTTAACCTTATACGCACCACAGTGCCAGCCCCATATTCCTTCTACTTTTAATGTAGGACTCCCCTAAGCATTTTTTATAAGACTGGTCTGATGATGACTTGACATCTTAAGATTTGAATATTGTTTATTGTCCTGGCCAATACTACTGCAGAATAGTAGTCTTTCCACTTTCTACTTGTTGAATTCTTTAGTGGATGATTGAGACTGTGATTATAAAGTAAATTGAAAGTATATTATCACAAAATTTAAATGAAAAAATAAAAGGAGGTAGAAGCAGGGAAAAAGGTAGGGAGAAATGGTGAGAAGTAACATTATGTGCTTACAATTGTATATATACTATACTTGAGATCTGCTCTCTTTATATAAATAAAAATAAATAAATAACTAAAAAAAGGAAAAAATTCCCTGTTTTTGCTCATATGGAAAAAAACAAGTTTCTCCTTCATTTATAAAGGATAGTTTTGCTGAGTAAGTATTCTTTGTTGACAGTTTTTTTCCTTCAAAACCTTGAATATATCATCCCATCCTCTTCTGACCTGTAAGGTTACTTTCTGAGAAGTCTGATAATTAGTCTAATGGAGTTTCTTTCAACCTGATGTTTTTCTCTCATTGTCTTTAGTATCTTCTCTTTCTCTTTCACTTTTGACAGTTTGGCCTAAATATGTTTTGGAGAATATCGTTTTTGGTTCAATCTGATTGCCATTCTTTGGACTTCTTTTGTGTAGAATTCCATATCTCTTTCAAGAGTTGGGAAGCTTTTGGCTATTATTTCATTAAATAGTTCCTTAATGGCTTTTTTCTTCTCTTCTCCTTTTGATATCTCCATAATGCAAATATTTGTTCACTTAATGTTATTACATAAGTCTCATAATCTTTCTTCATTCTCTAATTATTTTTTTCTTTATTTTTGTCTGAACGGGATATTTCAAAAGACTCAGTCCAAGATTATAAATTCTTTCTGGATCTATACTAAATTTTATTTTTTATTTCATTGGTTGAAATTTTCAGCTCCAAAATTTGTGATTTATTCTTTTGAAAATACTTCTCTTTGTTGAAATTTTTCATTATTATTAGACATTGTTTTCTTCATTTCTTTGAATTGTCTATACTTATTATCTTGCTTCTATTGAGTTTCCTTGGATCATTAACTTTCATTGGAAAGGAGTTTTTAATTGAGATGGACATGAAGTGTCAGCTGGATGGTGGCTTTGGCTTTGATTCTGGGTGAAGCAAGAAGTGTTAACTCCAAAAGATTTTTTTTTAGCAGTAATCAGTGTCACTGTGTCTATGTGTTACAGTGTCTATAAATGTCACAATTGTCTAGGTGCAACTGTTTATGGAGGTATTGGTATGACTTTTTAGTGAATTTAGGCTTCCAAAAGTGTGTCCTCATACCCCACAGAATTGAGTTCTTATAACACTATAGTTTAATGATAGCAGCCACATTCCTGTTGCTGTGAGACATAAAGAAGACTATACATAGTCTGAGAAAATAAGAGAGGAACACCAAGGTTCTAATCATTAAGTGATGACAAATAGGAGAAAAAGTTTATTGCACCAATTTAATCAGTGTGAACTGTATGCATGTAAAAAGTCACATGTACTAACATGTATAATTATTAATAAAAATTTGTTTTAAATATAAATTTAAGCCATATCGGGAAAATATAAAAAAGTAGTGATGAATAAATAAATAACTAAATCTCACAAATTGTCATTACCATCTAAAATACACTTGCTTTGCCCATGTTTTTAATTCCATAAAGGAAATTATCACAGTTACTATAGTGTCATATGCTCCTCACTCCCCTAAGTGAAACAACTCTAAAAGACATGCATCTCCAAGATCTTGGGATGATATCCACTTATCTTGAGTTCTGTCTCATCCTGTCTTAATATCCTGCAAATTAAGAAATGAAATATAAACTCAACAACTTGTATATGAATGAAATTGACACTTTGAGATTTGGTGATTGTTTGTAATCTTGTCTATACTCTTGAGGAACACTGATTTTTATGCTTACTATTTACTAGATTTTTTATTTAGTGGAGCCTTGTGATTTTTTATTTAATGGGGACTTGTGATTATAAAGTAAACTGAAAGTATGTCATTGTAAAAATTAAAAGAAAAATAAGAAAGGAAGGAAGGAGGGTAAGATTGAGAGAGGGAGAGAGGGTAAGGTGGGAAGTGAAACTATATATATGAAATACTATAATTTTTTTCCTTTACATGAATAAAAATAAAAATAAAATAAAAAACCAAACCAAAAACTCAACAACCTGCACTCTAAAAACAAGAGGGGGTAATAATAAGCCTGAAAAGATAAATTCATTGAATAAAT